CACACATCACATAACAGTGTTATACGGTCAATATGACTCATATGAAAATTTTCTCGCCATTGGGACCCTCAAATGTACGTGAGCATCCAAAACTTTTAAGGTTTGCCATTCAATCAGACATTTTGCTCATGTTTGACAAACAATATTAAGACCCTTTGAATTATGTACGCATGCATGCAAGAAATGGACCCTTGTCGTAATGATTTATTAGATATGTCATTAAAACTCGATGACATTAACATATATTTGACAAAAAAATCTCAAATTATTCCTCCACCCATGTCAGAGAAAATTCAATCTTGAATTTTCATTTTGAATATTGTATATTTCAATTTTGTTTTAAAATACCATATTTCCCATTACCAAGCCCACCACCACCTCTCTCAAACCTACATATCACTGCCCTCCCCCTCCCCAACTCACCCACCTCCTCATCCTTGGGCCACTTACCCTTACCCCATCAGTTGCAAATTCTTTTCCCCTCTGTTTACCTTTGATAATGAAAATTGATGCCTTTAAAAAACACACTTTTTTTGCCACAGCAAAGGCGGCTATCAGAAATACTCTGCCTAAAAAAAACCCTTTATTTCTTACAGTGAAAAATGGAGTTTTAACACTACGTTTGATGAGTTAAAGGTCAAATACAGCTTAGACTTATCCTTCAAACTATAAATATCTAAGTTCTAATCCTCAACCAGATACAAAAGGTGGCATAAAAGTAGTCTCAGTTAATAACCTGAAGGCCTCGTACGAGAAAAAAAAGGAGAATGAGCTCATCTAACCTCTCATGGATCACTAACTTACTCGGTCTATGGTCTTCGTTATCGTTCATCATGATTCATTGGAATACTCGAAGGAGCGAAGCTTCTAAATACTTATAAAAGGGAAAATTTCAGTCACACTTCTTCTAATTTATCATATCTTTAAAGATACTCTTCTATTTTTTGAATCTTCATTGACACCTTTATTAGATAGAATACAATTTTACTATATTGCCCATTTATATTTGAGGACAAATTTCATCCACATCCCCTCTAGATAAACATATCTTCCATGAGACTCCCTCTATTTTCTAATTTTTTTTACGTCTTAAAATTCATGCCGATTAAAATTCGATTCAAACTAATTAAAATTTATTTTTTAGCATATTAAAATTTGAGCAGATTAAAAATTATATTTTTATTAAAATTTGGGCTAATTAAAATTCTATTTGAGCCAATTAAAATTATTTTTAATCTACTCAAATCAAATTTTAATCAACTCGCATAGAATTTCAAGTAGCCCAAATATTAATACATAAAAAAATATAAATTTTCATTGACTCAAATTTTAATGAATCGAATTTTAATTGACACAAAATTTAAAAAGTAAAAAAATATAAATTTTAATCTACTCGATAGCAAATTTTAATAGGCGCTAACAACTGGGGTAAAATTCAAACCGGTTCAAATTTTAATACGTAAAAAATAAATTTTAATAGGCTCGAATTTTAATATGTTAACAAAAAATTAATCAGCTTCAATCAAATTTTAATTAGTTCAAATTTAATATGTAGAAAATTAAATTTTAATCGGCTCGAATTTTAATAAAATTTTATGTAGAAAATTACTTGAGGTTTATGTAGGGACATTTTTGGTATTTTATATGAATGTTTTTTGTTAGAAATGGTAGTTTAATGGTAGGGGATGCTAGTGATTTTTAAATATAAACTAGAAGGGGTGTTAGTAATGTTTTTGATAATAGAGGGGATGTCTTTAAAAATATAGTAAACTAAGAGTAGTACGGCTGAAATTTTCCCATACTTAAAAGACTTCTTAGTATGTGCAATTCTCTGTGGGCTATGTGAATCTCCCTTTAGTCCAACTCGCTCGTCCCCTCTTTCCTCTTCATTCATATCCTCGTCTCCACGATTCTCATATTTATCACGCTTTTCCTCGTCATCTTCATGTCCTTCCTCTAAGCCCTTATTGTCACACCCTGTTCTGCCCAGACATGCAACGTATGTTTCCTTGACTCGTGGAAGCATTCAGTTGTAATAAATTTGATTTAACGTAGCGTAGTAGTCCAACCCACGTAAACGAACTAAAACATATTGAATAAAATAGATATAGCACATAGAAACATAGCTATCGTGTTATATCACGAAACATGTATGTACATGTCAGTCACATCATAGTTATACTTATTTCATTTACATGCTTCATGCACACTTGTACTCTATCCCAAACAAAATAGGCAGTTCCACTATTTACAGATTTTTTCACCTTTGGCTAATCTGAAAATGGAGAAATAATATAGAGTGAGCATCAATAATTTAGTAGAATAACTCAATTCTAGGCATGCGAGTTTGAAAATACATAGCTTAACATAATTGAGTTAAAGAAAACGGACATTTGATACGTACATAAGAGAACCAACGTCATTTTATGTGAAACAGTAACACTTAAGCAAAATAGTACTATAAAAGAGAGTTAAAAAATATCTTGTATAGTGTTACACCAATGAGCAATCATCCAAATAGACCATTCAGGGTCCATACGAATATACAATCCAACCCTATGGGGGGCTTGTAGCCCAAAAAAGGTATGCTCCTTAGTCAAAGTTTGGTTTCCAAGTCTACAAACCAACTAGCCCACAAAAGCATTTATGAAACGTAAACTTTTTACCACTCGAACTTGTGTGCACTTACATTTAGTTCAAAAGGATCCCAGAGTTTGATTAAATATGAACAATACAATCATTTCAAGCATTTGTGCGAACCGCACTTAAAACCCCTAATTCGGGTCTAGATTTTAAGTCAATATTTGAACACTCAATCATACATTTTAGAATATGTTAAAAAATCATAACTAATGCATGGAATAATTTAAAATTGAATTTGAAAATCTTCTCCTATTCAGATATTGAAAAACTCTACCCGACACAGTGTATCAATTTAAAACTATTAAAAATATAACAATGTTATTTTTCTGTAAAATTTCACACATATACGCTAAATAACTATTTAAGAGCGAATGTAAAATTAGTTTGGTCAAAATCACTCAAAAAGTAGGTCTAGTCGACCTGGAAGGGCAAATCGAACTTTTCACACCTCACTAAGCTTGGACCTAAACTTTTACGGGACCACCAGGGATATGTTAGGAGTGCTATGGGACCAAATGCATGCGCTCTCACGTGTCGCCGGCAGTCACTGGTCTCGCCCCCCCCCCCCCCCCCCCCCAACTTCATCTTCTTCTTTTGGTCTTTGACCAAAACCCTACGTTTCCCCAACTAGTTTAACCTCCCCACTTTGAATCCTCTTTTCTCTCAGTACAGTACACCATTTTCACTCATTTTAGAACCTACCCACACCTTGCACAAGATAGTTTCCAGCCCCCCTAGCCTCCTCCCTCAAATTCCACTCTCACCCCTATCAAAAATTCGGTCAAAGTAGGCTAAAAACTCATTTTCATACATATGGTCGGACCGGTAACTCTCAAAATAGGCCCTCAAACGAACTCTGAGCTCCTAGGGTCCCATTTAGCTAGGGGGATCCCTCATTTGAAGCCAAAACTACCCGAGATCAAAATCTCCATAAACCAAAACCCTCGTCACCACCACCATGCCTCCTCCGGCCACAGCAAGCCACACAAACACCACCACAACCTCCCCACAACATCACCAAGTAAATTAATTAAACCAAACAGAAGAGAATACATGAACTCGTTTGAAAATTTTGAAAACCCACTAACTTTAAATTTCGAATTCATGTTTCCATGCTATACCAAACCAAAATCAAACACTATCACTAGATTAAGGGAGTAAAAATGAAGCCCTTAGTATAACTTAGGTTGCTCGAATTCTACTGTATCAAATTCAAAAAATCAAGTTTTGAGTTTCTCTCTCTCTAGATTAAGGGAGTAAAAATGAAGCTCTTAGTATAACTTAGGTTGCTGGAATTCTTCTGTATCAAAATTCAAAAAATCAAGTTTTGAGTCTCTCTCTCTCTCTCTCCTCCCACGATTTTTCTCTATTTTAAACCTCCAAACAAACTGAATCATCCTCTCAAGCAACTCTGTGGAGCTCATGCAGAGCTCGGGAGCCTCTAATCGCCACCAAGCACCATGGAGAATAAGCCTGAAGTTCTAGGACTGTTGCGTAATTTTCAAATTTGGCCAATTTTCAAAAATTATTTTAAAATATAATTTTTATTTTCAAACTTTCAATCATGTTTTTGCGAATGCTGTTCTTTGTCAATATGCTTATAAACATCATTGGCATGAGCTCTTTGAACTTTATACTTGAGCAATGAATATTAAAGCACAAGTCCCTAAAAAATTCAAGTGCAATTATTTTTTAGCGATTTATTTGTGCATCACTTTTTTAAATTTGGTCACATTGGAATCGTTTTTTCACAGTCGGCTCTCTGGCATTCATGTGTTCACCTATTACCAACACTTGTAGTTAATTAAGATTATAAATCCCTTAACCTATAACGACTCCTAAATTTGAAGGTGAACGGTTCACATGTATTTGTTTTTAAATTTTTCAAAGATAAATGCTATTCAAACACACTAGGGTGAAAGAGACTCTGGCTCATGAATCATGTATTAAGATTTATGTCACCATGTTCTCTATCCCCTAATATGACTCATAACAATACACATTTCAACTTTGGATTAAGGATGAAATCATTGTAATACAAACCAAAGTGTGAATTACCATGATCAATCAAAAAGAAAAATAAACAAAAAAAAAATCTTTTTGCCTTTTCTTTTTCATTTATATTTTTCAAATAAACAAATACAAAGAAAAATATGCATAAACATGCAATAAACAAAGAAGAGAACAAATAAAATAAATTACCATAAATCCTAAAAACGAATGTCAAACATGACATCAAAATTCCTTTTGTATTTTATAATTTCTTTTGTTTTTAGGTTTTCCAAATGTCTATCATTTTTTGAATTTTTCATATAGAAAACAAATCAAATAAACAAATAAAAGTTTATAAAATGTATGTCCCTAGGGTATTTGATGCAATTCATGAATGATACGCCTAGGTCTATACTTTTACCTCTCATACTTTTTAGGAGTCATGACCTTACTAAAGCACTCGAGGCCTCCAACTTGGTTGAGATGATAAGTTTCTAAAAATCATCCCTAATCAACTAAACTTGTTTTCCCTTCCTAAAACTCGAGTTAGATCAAGGAATGTGTGGAGGACTAGCTCTCTTCTCCCTAAAAGTATGTAGATTAACATTGACCTTGGGGTTAAAAAGAGCTTTGGGTGCTCTAGCATGTGGTCAATTAGAAGATTATGCGTGCATATGCTTGGACTCACACGACTTTTCTAAAAGCTTAGAAAAATTTAACATTTGATGATTTAAAGCTTTAAATTGGTTGGCTAGATGCAAGAACTTCTTATTTAAGACATCCGTATTTTTTAATTTCTTTTGTTTCTGAATTTTTAAAATTTTATTATTTTTGAAATTTTCATATAGAAAAATAAATTAAAATAAACAAAGAAAAATATATATAATATATGAAACTGCAGTGTTTGATGTAATGTATGAATGATACATCTAAGTCTATACTCTCACATCTCTTACTTCTTAGAAGTTATGATATTGCTATTAATACTCAGGGCTTCTAACTTGGTTGAGATGGTGAGTTTTTTAGAGTCCTCCCTAGTTACCCAAACTTATTTTTTTTTCTTAAAACTCGAGTTAGGCTGGGGAATGGGTGAAGGACTAACCCTCTTCTCTCAAGATATGTGTAGATCAACCTTGACCTTGGGAGTAGAAGGAGTTTTCTCTTAAGACTTTTAATTTTGAAAATAAATCTAATACACCAATATTGGAAAATTTAATCAAGTTATCAAGGTTAAAACAATATTTTTAAAACTCTCATCATGTGGTTGGACTTTTTTTGCTTTACTTTAAACTTTTCTATGATACTAGTTAGTGCATACTTGTGTTACACGTGAATTATTTTGTGTTATATTTCTAATATTATATTACTTGACAAGTGTCTCTTATAAGTTGATTTGTTGCACATTGGATGTTACATCAGAAACTACCTCCAAATGTGATTTTTATTTATTTATAGGCCTCTTCGGCATATATTACTATAGTTCATTATTTTGCTTGAAAAACTAATAATGTTTTGATATATTACTTTTGTCATAAACTACATACCATTTTTATAGCTCGATTGAAAATAGGATAAAATGTAAGTTATCTACCAACTATATACATACCATAGCACTTTCATCTTTCAAAGTTTACAACTTGCATAAATTGTAATTGACACGTAGAGTAGTATTTATGTAAAAACTAGGGTTAACCTGTGCTTGAACGGATGGTGCAACGCAAGTGAGAAGTGATGGATTTGGAAGGATAGAAATTCAATGTAAATGATTTTCAGAGAGATCTTGGAGGCCGTTAGATGAGTCTATTTAAGAACGTCGAACAAACTTCTTGAAATCTGCCCTATTTAATATTATAAATTTTACACAAATAAAAGTAATATTCTATAATATTTAATCTTCTTACAAATTTTATATTTTATTCATTTTTTGTTATATATTCTGGTGAACTCGAAATTAAGTGGGTCAAGCCCAATAAAATAAAGGAGTCCAAATCAACCAGACTCGACCCAAAGGGAGACCAAGACGTCAACGCCCAAGGAAGCCACCCCAAGGGGACCCTGCCTCTTCTCTGCTCCACACTCTCTCTTTCTCAGTGGTATCCTCCTCGCCTTGCCAATCCAGCTCATGATTTGCCTCCGAAAGAATAGGAGCATGAGGAAAATAATATTGAGATACGCATTACGAATATCTAATTCTATCATAGTTGTACTTACTAAAAAATATTGACTGCCTCACCGCCTCACCAAACCTATATAATGTAACCCTCTTCGTATAAATGGCATTACCTTGAAAACCCATACATACCTCTCTACACACATTGTTTCTCTCTTCCAAAGCATTATAATTCTC